ACCGTCACGCTCTGCATGCTAATAGCTATCAGAATGTCCTGTACATATCTGTCCAGTCAAAGCAAAACTCGAGGACGAAAACGGTCTGAAATTCTGAAACAAGTCATTATCAAATGAGCTGATGCCAAGAAAATACACCCTTTACTCACACACTCACAAACACACACCTAATCCAATATCTACAAGCCTCTCTCTTCCGTCTCCCATATGTCAGTCATGCATATATCTGCATGGGAAGCCACGCGTCTCCAGCATGACTGTAACCAACAGGCTTGGCCCATCTATAAGCACCACCCTATCTGGACAAAGCCTGCTCAAAGAGATCATTTGAAGAAAGCTTGTGTAATTCAAAAAGAACAAATACGGCTGCTTCACTCAACGAGCTTCTTCATATTGTCACAGTTCATCGCTGTCGCATGACCGTATGTGTGTGCATGTGTGTAGAGGAGCTTGATGCTGCTTCATTTGCTAACAGATGTTCACAAGTGTCATAAAAGCTATTTTTGTTGCATTCTTTATTATCCTGATGAACACAAAACAAGAATGGGTGGATGAGAGGAACTGTGCACTGTGTTCCATTCAAAGTTGGATGACGGATGTTCTTTCTTGATATCTTCTGACCAAGGTGCTCCAATGTTCAGTGCTCAAAAGATGATGTGCAAAGGTGCGGTAACATTAGCGATGTTTTGGCGAAAATTTGGACCATTGTTAATTGTCAGTAGTGCAGCGATGTATGAAGCACAACTCGTGTAAAAGTTGCTTTCAAACCAAGTATATTTGTATCGGTCAGCGCAGTAAAAAAACTTGAACCCGATAAGTCTGCACGGGGAAATCGTTCGCCCTCAAGTGAAATTACCGATCACATGGATTCCTACTGACACATTGGTAAATGTGACCGCACCTTCTGGCAACAAAACAACAACACTACATTACATTAGCATTGCATTTGTTCAGTGTCAACAATGAAGTCTTCTAGCAACCAAATTGTGGGGGGAAAAATGGCACCTCACAATGCGCAATTTGGAAGTTCGAATTCAAGTGAAGTTCCTTTGCACTTTTCCAAGTAGGAAGATGGAAATCGCAACTCTTTCAGCTGAGTGAAACATCATTAATGTTGAAATACATCAAAAATGTTTTCTTCAAGAAGCTCTGCTGACATGTTCATCTTCACCAGAAGTTGATGAGGAGGCTTGGAAAAGATGCTAATATTAAACAAACATTAATGAATCAGACTTCCCATAGACTTGCTGTGCATTAACACAGGTGGAAGGACATTACCTGTTCAGTTTAGTGTGTAGATGTAAAGTATGAATGTGCTTTTTATATTTCCAAAGTGAAATTGTCTTTTTTTTTCTTTGAAAGAGAGAATGTTGTGGAAGAGAACTGAATTACTCATGGAGCAACATACAGGAGGCAGCAACTTTATGCCTAGAGTCAAACAGTTCATTCGTGTCAATTCTGCTTTGAACCCCAGCATAGTGCTTACTTCCTGGAGAGGCTCTCCAGTGAATGAAAGTCAAAAAATACCTGACTAACAGGAGCTATCTGCAGCAGATCCAAGTTAGTGAAAAAACTCCAGAGCTATTTCAGTTCCAGCATTCATTCCTGACGTTTGGATGGCATTAGTGGCTCTACATGTCCTGGTTGCGCTTCATAAAAGTTTTTTTCCCCCCGCACGTACCTACATGGTCTTGCTGTACTCCTAGACTTACCCTTTCTTTCACAAGGGTTTTGACGAGTCACTTATATGTGTACATATAGTATCTATATATAGCAAACATCATATCATAAGGCTTTATTTTTTGAATTTCAGATACTTTTATTGTCATGTTTTGTTTGTTTTGGTCATACTTGCCTTGGCATGTCTTGTGATCCCGGTTATTCTGGCCATACTGTAAAAAAAAAAAAAAAAATCATGTATGTGTTGTAGATAAACCAACTGACAAAACAAAGAAAAGAAGAAGAGTGAAAGATGGTAGAGATTGTGAATATGAATTTATTTTATGGTCCTTTTTAGGAGAGCTAGCTCTAGAGGAGGAGATGTGAACTGTAAGTGTCTATCTATGCATTCTTTTAGCTCTGAGGAAGATTTGAGAGGAAAAAAAGACATTGCCTTGCATGTCCTGGGACAATTTAAGAAGACACTGTACTGAACAGAAATTAGATTTTTTATTTTATTTATTCTATTTTATATCGGTATATACTGGTTGCATTGTGATGTATCAGAAGCTTAGACATTCTTTACCCTTATACAACAAATCAAACCAAGTCAATTCAAATCACTGTACAGTTACTCTGGAGAACTGTTTATCTCAGACGCTGACTGCCATGATAACATAACATTTAAAAGGCTTTGTGACCAAACCAACATTAGACGTAGGTATAGCTTCAGTCTGCTTTAGAATACACTATATGGACAAAAGCATGTTAAACCTAACAAGTGGCTATTCGGATATTTCGGTTGCAACCGGTGCATAAAATCAATCTCAAACAATCTCATGTTGGACCCTTCACTCAAAATGTGTTTGAGAACTTGAGATGCAGTGCAGGAAATTGGTGCCCAATGCAGGGATTCAAAACACATTTTTAAAAGTTTTAACAAGATTCGTTTTAAAAACATGGCTCCCAACATAGGATTTCAAAAGACATGTTTTTTTTTAAAAGGTTTAACTTCATGTTTTAAAAATGTGGCGCCCAATGTAGGGTCTCGAGACACGTTTTTAAACGTTTTCGATTTATTTTAAAAACAACAAAAATCAAAGACGTCCATCTATAACGCATAACACATTTACAATAGCAAACCATTAAAAAGCTGTGCAGTGAAACAAATTTTTAGCAAATTAGGGCGCAGTTGAAGCTGGTGTATCAGCAAAAAGAAGGACTAGTGTCCTATTAATGATTTGTATTGTATTACACATCCATTTGGTCATTTAGTGTATGTTCCAAAATGTCAGTTTAAACAAGATTATCATAATCAGACCAAAATTAGAGTGCATTTGTTTGGGTAGTATGTAGATGTTTAGCTAGCGCTACTATAACCATTACTCTGGTATCTTGACGGCACGAGGCCTCCGCATTCACCCTGCAGATAATCAGTGCTAAAATGACCTGACATAAATCAATCTGCCTGTGTACTGCACCCCTTCGCTTTCCCCAATATCCAAAAGTGCTTATTGGTTTTTGTTCAGTTGTTTTTTTTTTCATGTGAATGTCACTTTGTGATGTTGGGTCTTATACAACTTACTGTTTTCTTTTGGATTTTTTTTTTTTTTTTTGATTCCCTCCTTTTGGGGTTTCATTGTGAATAAGAATCAATCACACTTTATGTTTCAAAATGAATTCAGTGGCAACTGGCAAAGTCAGCTGTTACATGCAAAACCAGAAAGAGGGAGGAGGCTTATGGGTAGTGTAGTCCAGTACAGTAATTCAGCATAGAATCATCCTTCTCTTGTTAGCCAAGAGTAGTGTGTTTGACTCTAGTGTTCTTGCATGGTGAATCACTCTGATTGGCGATTATCAGGGGAAATCTCATCACAAGGATTAACAAGCTACGAATTAACACTACTGGTGAAATACACTCAAACACGTTTTTGTGGAAACGTTGGCTTTCTCTGCTCTTCACTAATTTGTACACCATATAAATGTAAACTGTTGTGAAAATAAATGGCATATCACAAAATACATCAAAATGTTTCTGGCTGTTAATTGATTTCATAAAATATAGTCTGTTGTTAGTAGCAAGAACCTAATGAACTAATGAATGTAACAAGTTTTAAAATTGTTGTGGCAAAGTTGTATGATCTGATTATGGCCCACTGAGGTTTAGGGGTGGACCTTCATGCTTATGTCTCTAAAAAAAATCAAAGCCTAATTGTACACATTCATATGAAATTGCCAACTTGTAAAATAGTTTTCTTATGAGATTGGGGTTGGATATTAATATTTTATAAAATATGAGTCAATAAAGCTTTAGTGGCATAATTATTAAAGTCATGATAAAACATTTTCTTCCGTATTGTGAGGTACATCTGATTATCAGAAAATGTAGGGCAGGCACTTAGTTCTACCCACTGGTTGTTGATTGGATGGAAGTAGATAGACTGAATATTTATAGTTGGGCGTAAGAAAGGGCCAAGGTTTAAGCAGATAAAATGATGGAAGTAGTCCAACATTTGTCATCAAAAATAAATAAATAAATATGCTGACTTAACATTATCAAACTGTATAAAATAGTTACATTACAGAAATAGTTAAGAAAATATGTTGAATAAATAAATAGTTGGTAAAATAAAGACAATTATGTAAACATTTTATAGAGATACAAAATCTGGTTTCAACTGATTTAACGAATAATTGAGATATAAATTGTTTAAATTAATTTCAATAAATAAGATAAAATATTTTAAAAAAAATTGAGATATAAATGTGGTTTTAAGTAATACACCACTCAGTCAATCAACTGTGGTGCACATTAACGCAAATCTGTTTTCTCATATTCTGACATATAGTGCAACACACAAAATTTGGACCTTAGACAGGTTACAAATCACAAATAAAATCATTTATTCAACACAGTATACATGCTACAGTTACAGTGTTGCCAAAGTACAACATACATAAACATTAAAGGGATAGTTCACCCAAAAATGAAAATTCTGTCATTAATTACTCACCCACATGTGGTTTCAAACCTGTAAGGCATTCGCTCATCTTCGGAAAACAGATTATTAAACAAGGTATTTGTGATTAAATCCGAGAGCTTTCTGACCCCTAAAGTCATTATTTTAGTTTTTTGCGCACAAGAATATTCTCGCAGCTTCATAAAATTACAGTTGAACCACTGATGTCACATGGATTATTTTGTCGATGCTCTTGGTACTTTTCTGGGCCTTGACCGTGGTAGGACCCTTGCTGTCTATGGAGGGTCAGAAAGCTCTCGGATTTCATAAAAAATATCTTAATTTGTGTTCCAAAGATGAACAAATTTATGGGTTTGAAATGACATGTGGGTGAGTAATTAATGACAGAATTTTCATTTTTGGGTGAACTATCCCTTTAATCAACTATACTGTTTTAGTTATGAGATCAGTACCTTGCTTTCAATGGCGAAAACAATTCTTCTTTTGCATGTAAGCACACGGGATGTGTATTTATGAACAACAGGTTGTAGCTCAACGGCAAATGATGGAGTCTCTGCCTTTGGCAATGCTGCTAGAAGAGGAAAGACTGCTGGAGAAATTAGAAGACATGGAGGAGTACAATCGATGGGACGAAGAGAGATGTGAAGGACTGAGCGGATACACAGGAGGAAGACTGAACTCTCTTGACCGGTTTTCCTCCCTGTCTAGCTTGAAGGCTTCTGATTTGATCATTTCCTTTTTTGGTTTAACAGACTCTCGTTGAGACGCAGCTCTGCTGTGCAAATGTCTGAATCTGTGCGGTGACACTGGGGTTCTGATGGCAGCGGGTTTGCTCTGAGGTGGAGTTGGTTTAATGGAGGTAAGGGTTGTGTGTTGAGATGGCCGAAGGTGCAGGAGTTTCTTGCGTGGAGTTCGAGACTTGCTCTGATGTTCTTTACGAGTGCGGGACTTAGACTTTTTTCTCTTGGACTGCTTAACAACTTTAGCTCGAGGCTTATGACCTTTTGGTCGCTTCTTTTGCACAACAGAAGGCTGATTTTTATTGTCGGATGAGTGGTCTAGAACACTGGAGTGATTTGTAGTGCTAGATGTGGCATCCATAACTGCAGATGTTTGACTTGAAGCATGATCTAGGATTGTGGAACTGTCATTCAGGACTCTGGAAGTGTGATTGGAATCGTCTGCTGTCTGGATGATGGTATAGATGAGCACACCGTCAGCTGGAGGACTCTGACTGATCATCACCGATGCGGGAGGCTCAATCAGGGAGGAAGGCGGAAGAATTGGTTTGGATCCTTTTTGTTTTTTTCTCTTTTTCGGTTTCTCTCCATTCACGGGGTCAGGAGGGCGCAGTCCGCCCAACAAACCTTTAGCAGCAGCTCGTGCTAAAATATCCTGCACAGTTTCTACCTCTGCTGGGTCTTGCTGTTAGAAAGTAAAACACACACATATGCATAAAGCAATATTACATATAGGGAGACTGGGGCTAGTTGTCATAATATCTCAATAGTCTTAGCCACAGACGGCACAACCACAGTCTGCCGACCATATGATTTATTCTGCTCACAAACCTGGAAAAGTGCTGGTAAGCTCTGACTAGCTGATTTTACACAACTTCTGTCAACAATAAAAATGAAGGTAGATTTTAATCATAAAGTTAAAAACTGTGTTCTTGGGACAAGGGTTTATGTCAGGTTGGGGCAAGTTGTCTTGTGTTTTCAATGGATTTAATAAATTAACGTTTCTTATTATTCAGTCAAAGTTGTGCTGCTTAATATTTTTTATGCAAACCCTGATACATTTTTTTTGATTCTTTAATAAATAGAAAGTTAAAAAACAGCATTTATTTGAAACCGAAATCATTCTAAATGTTTATACTGTCTCTTTTAATCATTTTAATGCATCATTGTTGAAGAAAAGTGTTAATTTCTTTGGAGAAAAAATAATCTCACCGACATAAAAAAAAGAAATAATTCATCGTTTTATATTATTTTATTTTTGCATTTCACAATTGTTTTACTATCAGTGACAAATAGCAGATTCCTGTAATGATAACTTTTGGAGGATAATGGTCAATTTAATTTTAATTTCAGTTGACTTGTATATTCATTGTAGTACAAAAGTGACAACTAACCCCAGTCTATCTGCAGTATAAAGTGCAAATGCAAGCTTACACACACACATACACACACAAAAGAAGCTACAGCCTTGTTTCTCTTGCTGTTTGTGGTCTTGTGTGGATGCTAATGTGATCAGACACGTGTTCATTATTTAGTGCGAACCGGAGCTACGCTGCCAGTATTTAGGACAGCAATGCATCAAGCTCTGCATGAGTGTGTGTGTGTGTGTGAGCTCACTCACCAACTCTACTCACAGACAATTCTTCACGCTTGTTTAGATATAAACACAGCATATGAATCACAGCAAATCATTATGGCTGTAAAAGTCCTATTATATATGTTATAAAACCTGTTAATCATTTGATTTTCTCTCGTTCCTTCTTTCTCACCTCTCTTTTCATCACACAGAGGAAACAGCCATTTGTGACGTCAGATGCTTGAGTTCTGAAAAACTTCTCTTCCTCATCATCCCATCCTGCACTGACCAGCCTGAGAGAAACACGGAGAGAGATGTTTTGTGTTATAAATTCAATCCAACTCATATCCATTTTCTCATAACTCAAACGTTCACATAATTCTTCCCCCACTTGCTTTTCTGTGGATTAACTGCAGTTTCCATGGATACAGCAACTTTAAATCCTTACAGTTAGTGGCGTGTGACAGTAAAGACTTAATGCTTGGACAGTGTGTGTGTGTGTGTGTGTGTGTGTGTGTGTTTGTGTGAGAGAGAGCGAGAGAGATGCGTGTGTACCTGAAGGGCACAGCTTTTGCTTTGCTGTCTGCGTTCTCAAGCGCTCTCTTCACAAGTCTTTCATTCTCCTCTGGATGTACTGAGCATGTGCAGTACACCACAGATTTCACCTTAGGAACTGCAGTTAATCAAGTTAGGTCATTATAACTCAGATGTATAAGCAATATTTTAGCTGCATTTATTTAATAAAAAATAATAAAAATATCGTAAAAACAGTAATATTGTGAAATATTATTACAATTTAAAGGGATAGTTCACCCAAAAATGAAAATTTGCTGTTTATCTGCTTACCCCCAGGGCATCCAAGATGTAGGTGACTTTGTTTCTTCAGTAGAATACAAACAAAGATTTTGAACTCAAACCATTGCAGTCTGTCAGTCATATAATGGAAGTGAATGGGAATCACGGCTTTGTCAAAAAAAACACACAAAAAAACATACACAAACAAAATCAAATTAAACCCTGCGGCTCGTGATGATACATTGATGTGTAAAGACACGAAACGATCAGTCTGTGCAAGAAACTGAACAGTATTTATATCGTTTTTTACCTCTGATTTTCACCACAATGTCCGAACTGTCCTGAGTGCATTCTCAGATGTGTCTTCTTCTACTTGCTTTACGGCAGATTGCAAACTTATAAGTGCATTACCGCCACCTATCTCTCAAATGGACCATTGACACTGTATCTACAATCTCAATTAGGAGTTTCAATGGTCCGTTTGAGAGATAAACTGTTTTAGATTTTAAAGGGGTAATGAACTGAGAAATCAAAATTCCCTTGATCTTTAGATATATAAGCTATAAAATGATATAAAAACATACCGTAAGTTCCAGAACTCAAAACTTTCTCGTTAGTCTAAAAACAGCTTATATTGAAGCCAGTCTGTCAAAACGACAGCTTGTGGAATGTGCCACTTTATGATGTAATAGTGTGGCTAAACACTGTCTCCGCAGAGGAAGATCAACGCCTGCTTCTACATCACTGCCTGTTTAGCCCCGCCCACCAATTTGCGCATGTAGTGTAAATAATGAAAGAGGAAAACACAGGTCTACGCAGAAACCAAATGATAAACTTTATTTGATGAACTTCATTTTTAATGAAGATCCAGACAGTGTCAGTAAGAACTTGGCCCTTTGTTCACTTAATTTTACAGCGGATTCATTTACAAACAAGGCACAATTCGATGCAGGATTTTCAGAAAGATTGAAACTAAAAGACGATGCTGTGCTGACTATATTGGATTACAAGTGTGAGTAACTGTTATTACTGTGTCATCACTATTGCTTTGTCTGTTATTACAGATAGTGTGATATGTACCGAGTTAGCTTATCATAGCAGTGGGCATTTACTTCCGAGTTTACAATTCTCCACGCTTATTCAAACAGAGCGTTCTGATGAGGGGGGTCAAAAAAGGACAGAAAATAGCCTATTCTAAATTATGATGACAGTACAAAATAATAAAAAAGGCAGTTCATGAACCCTTTAATATATTTTAAAAAGTTATTTAAAATGCAATACATTTTTAGCAGCCATTATTCCTGTCTTTTCTCTCACAAAATAAACGTATGAAGGTAATGCAGAAAACAATTAATTTGTTCTTGATAGAATTGATCAAGATTTATTCTCTATATTGTATTAATTTAACCTTTTTACAGAAAAATAAACAAACATTTGTAATTGTTATGAATTATTAATTGTTAGTAAATTATTTTTGTAGTATAGAGAGACACACATGAACACATGGATAAAAATTAGGGGTCCCACTTTATATTAAGTGGCCTTAACTACTATGTACCTACATAAAAAATGAGTACAATGTACTTTTCACTTAGAGGGAGTATTAAAACTACTTAATGTCACAGAATCAGGTAGTAAATGAATGCGTGTGTGTGTGTGTATTTGTGTGTGTCTCACAGGTGAGTGCATGGTTGAGGTCCTGTTTCTGCTTGGCAACCAGTGCCTCCAGTTTACTCTCAGAAACGATTCCTTTAGACAGGCCATGCAGCAGCCCTCTGTCTGAATAAGAGCAGTATACGTTATTTTGAAATGTTGTATTAGTTTGCATTTATTCAATGCTCACCCAACTGCCACAATGAAAAAGAGAATGTCTCAAATGTAAAATCATTCATTGCTCTACCTCCACTCTCATTGAGGATAAACTCGACAGGGTTACAAAGTGCTGACGCAGAACACTTTGGGAGCAACACAATCACCCGAACCTTCTGAATACGCAAATCCCATTCATTAAGTTCATTGAAGTACTCAGACATCAGTTTCACATCTATGGAAAAAACGAAAGAAAATACCTGAGAACCAATACTTCACTACTGGCCAAACAAAGGACAGGTACTTTATTATGGTACGTACTGTAGATATCACTCATGAATAAGGTTCAGCAGAATAACACTTACTTTTGCAGGCAGTAGAGGTGAGGATGGTTTGTAATTCATTGTTGAAGGTGGAGAAATTAAGGACCCCACATACATGTACACAGCCAGAACAGGCAGCGGCCTGGACAGCTACATGAGCCACAGTCAGAGCAGAGAAAGATCCCACCATGAGAACGTCTCCACTCTCCACCAACAGCGGGCGAATCGCACATGCTGCCAGACTGCGAGATTTATCCTGCATTCATACACACATATTAAACCCGGATATGGATTTGCATTGATGATGCTTGTTTGTCTGTATGTCTTTATTACCTGTATCATGAGTGTGTGTTCTGTCACTAGGTTGGTTTTCTCCAGTTGTTTTGAGAGCCGTCTGGGAAACAGCAGTACATTGGAACAGTGTTTGTCCTTACAGAACACATTTCCTACCAGGGGTGTGTGTGAGTCGACCTGAGTAAAGCCTGATGTCTTCAGAGTCTCACACACATTTTCAATGCTGAATAAATTGGAATACAAACACAATATGAGAAGTGTACATATTAAATCAGGAAAAATACATTTGTGCATGCATAAATACATACACAGACACACACTACCTGGCTTTGAGGGTGTTGACCCAGGCATAGAGCGGTAATGTTTGTGACCTTTGTTGTTTAACCCTCACAACTGGTGGCAGGAAACTGTCAATTGTCAGCAAATTCTGTTTTATTCTGTACTGAGCCAGTGAGGCTTCCAGTTTGGTCTTGAACCTGATATGTACACACAAACATACAAGTGCTATTTTTAAGGTCCAACACTCATAACACTTATGTAACATCACCAGAGGATTCATGTAATGTAATTTAATTTAATTTAATTTTCAGGACAATGTTGCAGCTCTGAAAAAAAAAAGATTTAAAAACAGTTCTAATCTATGGAAACCCTGTGGGGAAGAAAGGAAATAAAGCTGGAATTAAAAAAAAAAAAAAAAAAAAAATGCCAGTTGCGAAATATGAGGTCATATTCCAAAATTGTAAGTCACTCACAACTGGAGACACAGTTGCAACTATATGAATTATTATGATAAACTATTATTTTAAAATATTTTAATTATTAAAATATTTAATTATTTTTAAATGTTATAAATTCATTATTAGCATATTTTTTTTGTAGTATGGAGAAAGAAAATATAAAAACATGGATAAAAATAGGTTCAGTAAAGACAGCAAAAAAAAAAATATATATATCTTATATTTCTCATTCTCACTTAGTGAAAAAGTATGAGTTTTAATCTACAGAAATTCACCTTACAGAAAAAATATAATAGTTAAAAAAGAAATGAAGTCACAATAAAAAATAAAAAAAGTACAACAAATGAGGTCACATTACAAAATATAAAGTTACAACTGAGAGAGAGAAAGTCACATTTATGAGAAATAAAGTCACAATTTTGAGATATGAAGTTGCAAATACACCTTTTTTTAAACTCCGAGGTAGAACAGGCTTTCATTGAAATCTTTGAATTTATATATATCAAACTTTGGTATTTTGGGCAATTTGAGACATTTCTGAGATCATTTCTGAAACTGAGGATACTTAAGCAAAGGTCTCAACCTGCTCTCCAATTAATCTCATTGCTGTCTAGGAGACATAAGTGAGATTTTTCATTCCATGGGTTTCAAAGAACATCATTACTGTAAGTCTAACTTAAAGAATGAATGCATTTTCACAGGGCAGACCTGCTCGTACTGACCTACAAAGGCTGTCCTCCACCTGTCTCACTTCCTTTATTAGTCCCTCCTCTGCTCTCTTCATTGGCTCTCTGGGCTGGAACTTCCTGTCCAGGAGGTCATAGAGTACGACCACCACAAGAGCCATAAGATCATCTGGCTGAACACACACAAACTCACCCATCAAACTCAAAGTCAATAATAATATCAAGATAAAAGGGCAGATGTCAGTCATAACAGACCCACCATTTGCTGAGAACGGTGAAAGTTGCTGTCAGTCAGGATCTCCTCCAGTAGATCTTGGTCTGTGATGGTAGGAGAAAGTTTGGGATGTTTAGCTTTAATAAATGAAGTTGAGCAATACTGTACTGATACTATTATATCACTTCTATACTGCAGTGGATAGTTGTAATACAACAGCATAATATGAAGAGTTAATGTGGGAAGCAAAAAACTCTACACCAGAAATCCTAAAATACACAACCGCAAAATTGACGTGTGAGAGTTACATCCATTTTGCTGAGAAATTAATTTAAAAAATAGTTGAATTCCAACTCAGACTGGCTTACTACATTTAAAAACGGAATGTGAACTGAATTATATATATATATATATATATATATAATTACCAACTTTCATGATTTTTTAAAATATTCCTCCTTTCAAAAGTTTTGGTGTAGACATTGTAGTTTGTTTGTTTGTTTTAAGCATAGATCTAATTGTTTTTTGGATGTAAGCTCAAAACAAAACAAAATTATAACGACTATAAAATAAAAAAGCTCCTTTAATATATTGTATAATACATTAAACTGATAAGCTTTTGTCTGATTTTTCCGAATTGCATACAAATATAAATCATTTGTTGTTTTTGTGTTTCTGGATGATAGAACTGGCTGCAAGTATAAACTGACCTCATGCTTACAGTTCAGCGCAGCCATTAAATTGTTACAGCAGTCAGTAACTGATGTCTGACCTGCTCACTAAAAGCAAATAGATGTCCTTAAAAAAAATAAAAGAGTAAAAAAGCCTCCCCTAAGCAAAAAGTTTAAGAAAATAAGTGAGAGAGAGAGAGAGAGAGAGAGAGAGAGAGAGAGAGAGGTGAAGAGAGTAGAGGAATGAGTCAGAGACATGTGTGGGGAAGATAAGCTACAAGAAGAAACTCAACCAGAATGTGACCAGACATTCTCAAATTATTGATTCAGGACCTCAGTAATGGAAAGAAGAGGGGGTAGGCAAGGAAAGAGGAGATCAGACGAGAAGAAATGACAGGAAACATGGAGAGCATGCAGCTTTGCATGAACCACAACCCAAAAGTCAGTCTATTATCTTCCAATTTTCTGATATGAAGCTTTGGAAACAATACAACAAAACATGGTAGCACTACATTATTAGTTAAAATGAGTTAATACATAAAGACAAACCAACAATAAGCAATATTCATGTTAGCTCAGGTCCATTAAATAAATGTTAACAGGTGTAAAAGTAAATGTTGAAATGAACATTAAATATAGATTACTTAAGGATATTAATATTCAATATTAACAATACGTTGAAAATATTTTGACATTAAATGTTTTTAACTCCGCTTAAGATTTAATTTGTACCAAGCAGGGTTATCTTAATGCCTGTTCCATCAGAGACCACCAAAGAAAAAAAGTGTGACATCCAACCTCGGTCTTCTCTACATTATAAAATGGAAAAGCTCTCCTCTGCTGTACTATACTGTTTCACAGTATAGGATGAAAAATGGAATTTTGGGTATAGTAATATACGTTTATGACTCTTCATCTGTTTCCAACTACACCTTTGAGTCATGAGGAACTGAATAATTGATGTTAAAAGATTTGTGGGCCACAAAAAGAATGACATCAGTGACCACAGGGACATTATCGGCAAAAACAATCAAGATGAATTGGACACATTAGATTCTTGTGCCTTCTAAACAACTTCTTTATCATCACTCTTCATGATATTTACACTCTTACCCAAGGCTTATTTTGCTTCTTTATAGAACCGACTTGAATGCTAGAATGCTGAAATTTTTCAAGGAAATGTAATGTAATACTTAAAAATCCATTTTGACCTGGCTTTATTTTGTCACTCACATTTCAGAGTGTTAAACGCCAGCTCATACGCCCAGTGCTCATTCTTCTTGGTGTTGGCATCACCGTCGTTAACAATCCCAGAATCTTCATCATCATCGTCATCATCATCATCACCACCACCACCACCATCGCCTTTAGGACTGGTGCACCTATAGCGAATGAGTCGGTGTGCGAGGTCTTTCTCCACATGAGTTTTCTGGAAAATAGCTGCAGCATGAATGTACACAGAGTCTGGGAATCCCAAAGGCATCCCCTCTCTCTCCATCTTGTTCCTTTCTGTGGACACTGCAGTGACCCTCTTTTTAAGAGACTGGATACATACTTTTCTCATTGGGCCCTTAGGAGAAATTGGAGTGTGTGCTTTATTTTTAGGAGCTGATTCTTGATCCAGCAAGTTCAGTGATGTGACGTCTGGTAGATCCGAGTCCAGTGTGGAGCTGAGAGTCTGTTTAACCATTCTGATTCTGTAAAAACACTGCATTTGTGATTACCATAGATCAGTTTGAAGTATTATTTTACATACATTATTTAGTTCAGAGGCTTTCAACTAGGGTCAGTACATTGACAATATAAAAGCCAGTTATTTAACTTGTAAACAACATGTTTTCTCACACAGTATAATTGTAGTCTTTACATAAATCAAACTACGGGGATCATCAAATTTGGGGGCACTTGGCATCTGAATTAGTCTATTTGAAAATATTTTATAGTATTTTGACCCCATATGTTAAAGATTATGCAGTATACAGTTATATATGAATATACAGTTGGGCCCAAAAGTCTGACACTACTAGAACTTGTGCATAAAATCAGTGCAGAACCTTAAATATTTCTTATTTATTTTACATCACAACATTTCTTTATTTCTTTCTGTCTTTACTTTCGTTCCTGTAACTGGTTAGATTAGAATTTGAATCCAAGATTGTAGACTTTTTCAATGTAGACTTTTTTTTTTTTTTGAACTGTACATAAATTACTTTCCAAAAGTTTAGGGTCTGTGTGACTTTAAGAAATTATTTTATTCAGCAAAGATGAAAAGTAATCAGAAGTGACAGTGAAGACTGTCCTTATGAAATTTCTTTTCATCAAAGAATCCTGAAAAAATAATTGTGATACTAAGAAATGTTTCTTGAGTAGCAAATCAGCATATTAAAATGATTTATGAAGGATCATGGGACACTGAAGACTGGAGTAAGGGCTGCTGAAAATTCAGCGTTGCCATCACAGGAATAAATTACATCTAATAAAATAAATAAAATATACAATTCTAATAAGAATTATTCACAATATTACTATTTTTAGTACATTTTTGTTTTTGCTGCATTTTTTAAGCATACTAGACTGCTTTCAAAAACATTAAGAAATCTTACTGACCCTAAGCTTTTGAACAGTATATACAGTCTCAGACCAAACTGTGACATAGCAAGAGTGCAGAAACTTAAATATTTCATCTTCATTTTCACTTTAAATTTTTTTTTTAAAATCTTTTAAATTTTGTAATTTCCTAATTATTGACAGTTTAGCATTTGAAACGCACATATTCAAAATCGAATTAGTCAAAACAAAATTTTAATACATACCTCTCTTAATGTAAGCGCAGTCAGCTCGGCAACAGGTATGAATATAAGAACAGAATGTGAGAATTAGGAGCTCGCTCTGTCTCTGGTCTCAGTCTCTCTCTCTAGCTCTGAGATCTTGTGTCACTACAACAACAAACACATTTGTTCTTGTCAACAGAGTGTGAATCTTCTCTCTACAGATGTAGTCACTCAGCTATCAGCAGCTCATCATCACTCCCCTACTCTCGCTCTCTCTCTCTCTCACACACACAAACACACACACACACGTCTGGTTTGCTATCCTTGTGGGGACTCTCCATAGGCGTAATGGTTTTTCTACTGTACAGACCGTATATTCTATTGCCCTACACTAACCCTACCCCTAAACCTACCCCTCACAGGAAACTTCTGCATTTTTAGATTTTCAAAAAACTTAATTCTGTATGATTTATAAGCTTTTGTAACCGTGGGGACCACAATTTGAGTCCCCATGAGTCTGTGTGTAGTCAAGTTTAAGTCCCCACCAGGATATATAAACCATTTTCAAAAAACTTCATTCTGTGTGATTTATTAGCATGTTTACCCGTGGGGACCTCAATTTAGGTCCCCACCGTGACACGAGTCCCCATGAGTCTGTGTGTATTCAGGTTTAAGTCCCCACCAGAATAGAAAAACAGGTACACACACACACACAATGAATAAAAAAAATAATTAAATAACACACTCACAGGTTTGAGTTAAGGAAGATATGTTAAAGAATATAGCACATATAGTGTCATATATGTTCATTTGTAAGTGTGTTTGCTGTATTTCTTACCCACTTCTTTACAAAACTGAGGTGGTGTTATTCACTGGAGTTAAGTTAAAGAACAGGCTACTGGCTTTAAGGGTAAACAGACTCCAGAGTAACGCTTAATTTATGCTCATTTGAAACCCTCTCATGCCTGACGCACGTCGGCTCCAATGAGACACAATTAGCCTGACGTTTGCATTCATCATGTTAAATGATGCATTGCTTTGGGCTCAAATCCGAACTAAGTCTCCCTGTTACCCCCACATTAGCACCGAAACAAACTCAACAGGTCTGTCTTCTATGTCAGAACTTCCAGTCACTTCAAAGAACTGATGTGATGATGGTTTTATTCTGAACTTTGACAGCCAATCAGCTGCTGAGTCTAATTAAGCCCCACCCAGACATCACCCGATTGGTCTATGCTGTTATCAGCTGACTTTTAATTAGTGATGAGATCTGCCAATCTCTTTGAAAGTAATCTTTTGTTGCTTTAACTCCAGATTAGTGGAACAAACACAGTGGAAACATGAGACTGCCTAATTAATAATGTGTGTGTTTGGGGTGTGTATACACTTCCGTGTGTGTCTGTGTGCTGAATTAGTAATGTGAAGAAATAAACAGCTTCTTTTTTTCTCATTAACCCACATCTCAGTGCCTCAGGGGCAGATCAGTGTGTTCAGTGACAGTACAGGTCATTCAACTTCAGTGCTATTTCAGAAAATGTTATTTTAGTATCAGTACTAGTTTTTGTTAAGATTTTTACATTTAATGTTTTCACTTGTTTCCCCCAGTTGATGTGTTTTTTTTTTTGCAAGTAACATGGTTTTAGTTTTAGAATGACAGTAACATGGTTTAAGTTTTAGAATGACAGTAACATTTCAAACATTTAAACCAGGCAGGGTTAACCTTACAGTAGTATTTAACACTATAACCCCAATTCCAGAAAAGTTGGGACATTTTGTAAAAAGCAATAAAAATCTAGAATCTGATTTGTTAATTCTCTTTAACTGTTATTTAATTAACAAAAGTACAAAGAAATTATTTGCAATGTTTTCACTGACCATCTTAAATGTATTTTGTAAATATAAAATTGTTTTGATTTTAATGATTTCACAAATGATATTAAATTCATTGTGTCATAGATTAAATAATTTAGATTTTATTCAGTTTCCATTAAAAACTACTTAAAAATATTATGTGAAATATTGTTACCGTACTTTTTTAAAGCTCATACCATTTTTTACAGTGTATGAAGGATTTTGAAAGTCTGAAATGCCCCTTTTATACCTAATCACAATCACAAATCTCACCTACCAATTCACCAGCTTATTGTGGACTGTTTCAAAACAGTTTAATTAGGATATTCTATAGGCTAACCTTTTCACTTTTATTTTGCCTCTGTCCCAACTTTTTTGGAGTGTGTTGCAGCAGCCATGTGCTCATTTATTTTAATTGGGTCATATGATGTTGCTAAAAAGAACATTATTTTGTGTATTTGGTGTAATGCAATGTGTTTATCCGGTTTAAGGTTCAAAAAACACATTATTTTCCACATACTGTACATTATTGTTTCTTCCGCCTTTCTGAAACGCGTCGATTTTTACAAAGCTCATCGGTCTGAAAAGCGAGGTGTGCTCTGATTGGCCAGCTATACAGTGCGTTGTGATTGGCCGAATACCTCAAGCGTGTGTGCTGTGTGATTCAGTGATTCAGTGTGTAATTCAGATAAAACGAGCAGACTGAACAGAAACGATCGTCAAAAATGCTTGAAAGGAAAAATTGAAATCGCATCATATGACCCCTTTAAATTTGATTTTCAAAAGTCTGTGATTTTGAGTAAGGCCTGTTTATATTTGACTTTGAGTTATTTTGTACAATTAAAATACTGTATACAGCCAGACAGATCAAGTAGGAAAAAACTTGTTACTGCATTAGCATTAACAGAGCTACTTCTCATTGAACAAAGCATCACGCCTCATAGTAGTACATGCAGTTACTCTTTCAAATGTCAAACATAACTGAACATTAAACATTAATAGATGTTTCCCTTTACTCAAAAACACATAAAGTAGCACTAAATTTCAATATTTACTCTCCATATCTAGCCATATACAAAGCATGCTGGGAACTAACGATCACCGCCAAAATAAAACCGCATAATTGAGCTAATTATCTTAAAATAAATAGGTAGCCTTTTTTCTTCTTTTTTTTCAGTTTAATCAGTTCCTCATTTCAAGCCTCAAAACTGCTCAAGTTTACTCAAAAAAAAGGAAAACATATCTCTTGGTTTTATTAGTGAAAAGTTCTCAATATTTTCTATACAACACTGAACGCTCCGGTTACTGACTTAACCTCGGTTCCCCGAGATAAGGGAATGAGCATTGCGTGAGACGCTAAGGGAAAACTCCTGTTTTCTCTATACTGAAGCCTGATTTGTTCACATTTGTGTTGCTGCACAAACCAATGGTGCTTTAGCCCGCCAGAAAGGGTGGAGCCATCCCTTATATAAGTCGGCTCAAAGCGCCATTCATTAGATCATTCAACTGAAGCAACAGTCATCGATTTGCGTACAGCTTATAGCGTGGCAAGTGACGCAACGCTCGTTCCCTTATCTCAGGGAACCGAGGTTACATCAGTAACCAGAGCGTTCCCTTTCGAACGGTCTCTCCCGTTGCGTGAGAAGCTAAGGGGAACGCATTCAATCATGCCGTGCTATGAGCAGATACAGGACATCCTGCTCTGCGAGTCCAGTCTTGGAGCACTAATAAGGACCCCTGAGAACATGAGCACATTGTGCCCCAAGCTAGTAGCTTAGAAGCACTAATATAACCAGCTTCGCCCAAGGGTGAAGAGTGGTACATTAAACTGAAAGAACTCGCACCTGTAAAGCAGGGACATCTAAGTTATAGAATCTGGCAAATGTGGATGGCGACGACCAGCCGGCGACCGCACAGATCTCACCAATAGAAATTCCACTGGACCACACCCAGAAGGAGGCCATCCCTCTTGTGGAATGGGCTCTCACACCTATAGGGCACTGCAAGCCTTCTGAGGCGTAAGCCAAGGCTATCACATCAACAATCCAGCGAGAAAGTCGCTGCTTTGTGGCCAGCAGTCCTTTATGGAGGCCTCCAAAACAAACAAAAAGCTGCTCTGACTGTCTAAACAGGCTAGAGCGCTCTAGGTATACTCTCAGAGCCCTTACTGTACAGAGCATGTCTGGACCCTGCTCACCATCTGTAACGGGGAGCGCCAATAGGGAGTTCACCTGAGCTCTGAATGGAGTCTTGGTTTTAGAATGACTTTACAGTCATTAGGCCCAAACTCAAGAAATGAGGCGCTGATTGACAGCACTTGCAAGTCACCCACTCACAAAACTGATGCCAAGGCAAGGAGGAAGGCCGTTTTAATTGGCCGAACTGAGCAGCTCGAAGGGGGGCCCTCTTAGGGCCCGCAGAACTATAGACAAGTCCCAAGATGGCACAGTCTGAGGGCGAGGTGGATTCAGCCTCCGTGCACCCTTCAAGAACTTAACGATCAGGTCGTTTCTGCCGATCGATTGGCCAGCTTCGAGAGAATGGTTTGCTGCGATAGCTGCCACATACACTTTGAGCGTGGAGGGGGCGCGCCCCTTATCCAACAGCTCTTGCAAAAAGGTTAGCACATGGGACACGTCACATGATATCGGGTCCAAACTTCGTGCAGAACACCAGTTAAGGAAGGCTGACCATTTTAGGCTATAAAGTCATCTTGCAGACGGGGCTCTTGCCTCCAAAATGGTATTACTTACTCTTGCTGGGAGCTGATTAAGCTCCCGTCGAGGCACCATACATGAAAGCTCCACAGCTCCAGCCGGGGATGCCAAATCATGCCTTTCGCCTTGGAGAGAAGGTTCCTTCTCAGCGGAATGGGCCACGGAGCGGGGCCACTAGGAGGAGAGAGCACTTGGTCTCCCTGACCCGCCTGACGACCTGAGGAATCAGGGCGATCGGGGGAAACATGTATAGGCGAGCACTGGGCCAGTCATGGGCCAGAGCATCTCGCTGTATCAAGAAGTATGTTGGGCAGTGTGACCGCACCAAGACGTGGTGCCCTTTTAAGGCTGGAAGGAAGGTTTTCAGGGCTAAGAAAACTGCCAACATCTCTAGGCAGTTGATATGCAGAAGTTGCTCCGGGGCTGACCAGGAGCTGAACGCCGGATTGCCCTCCAACAGGGCGCCCCAACCCGAGTTGGACGCATCCGTTGTGACTACCTTCCTTCTGGAGGTCAGGCCTAATCTCGTTCCTGTTTGGAACAGGCGAGAGGTCATCCAGGGGGCCACAGCCTTGATACAGTGGTGGTCTACCCTGACAGGAAGCTGCCCCAGGCACCAGGCGTGGGGTAGAACGTGGGCTTTGAGCCAAAACTGAAGGGGCCGCATGTGCAGCAGGCCCAGAGGAATTACAGAGCCATAAGGCCGACCAACCTCTGAAAAACTTTCAGGGGGCGTGTCGTCCCCGGTTTGAGAGACGCCGCCAATCGCTGAATAGTCAGGGATCGATTCGGCGTAATCCATGCCTGCATGCCTCCACAAAAAGACAGCTTGCTGTCTGGGCAACAGCTGTCTCTTGTGCGGGTTGATGATCAACCCGAGGCGCTCTAAGTGGCTGAGTAACAGCTCCCTGTGAGCAGCCAACTAGAAAAAAAAAACCGACTTTATTCAACAATTCGTCGTCTCCGGGTCACCCTGGTGCCATTTTGGACGTAAACAACGTATGCTGTTCTGTGTCAGCTGCGTCACACGGATACGCTGTTTTTGTTCAGATCAAATCACAACAACATAGGAAACAGATCCGGCATGACGCGGAGGAGACGAATTGTTGAATAAAGTCGTTATTATTTTGCTTTTGCGCACAAAAAGTATTCTCGTAGCTTCGTATAATTGCGGTTTAACCCCTGATGTCACATGGATTATTTTACAGATCTCCTTGCTACGTTTCTGGACTTGGGAACATTTCAGTTGTGTTGCTATTTTACCGATCTCCTTGCTACGTTTCTGGACTTGAGAACATTTCAGTTGTATTGCTGTCTATGCAGGGTCAGACAGCTCTCAGATTTCATGAAAAATATCTTAATTTGTGTTCCGAAGATGACCGAAGGTCTTACGGGTTTGAAACGACATGAGGGTGAGTAATTAATGACAGAATTTTCATTTTTGGGTGAACTATCCCTTTAATAATGTTAAATGAAAATTACAAAACCCATGATTACTTTTTTACAGTGTATAATCATTTAATTTTAAAGCACA